ACAGGAGAATTCTACAAAGCATTTAAGGAAGAGCTAACTCCTATTCATATAAACACCATATAAACAAAAGCAAAGACAAAAATCACATGATCATATCAATAAATTCAGAAAAAGCTTTTGATAAGGAACAACACCCATGTATGATAAAAAACACTCAGCAAAGTGGGAATAGAAGGAGCATTCCTCAATATAATAAAGGCCATACATGAGAGACCTACAGCCAATATCATACTCAATGGGCAAAACTAAAAGCTTTTCCACTAAGATCAGGAGCAAGACAAGGCTATCCATTTTCATCACTTCTATTTAATATAGTATTGGAAGTTTTAGCCACAGTGATCAGACAAGAAAATGAAATAAAAGGCATCCAAATCAGAAAGGAGGAAACAAAACTGTCACTGTTTGCAGATGACATGATAGTGTACATGAAAAATCCTATAGATTCTACCCTAAAACTGTTCAACTTAATAAATGAATTTGGCAAAACAACAGGACACAAAGTCAATATACAGAAATCAAAGGCAGTTTTGCATACCAACAGTGAAAAAGCAGAAGCAAAAATCAAGAAAAAATCCCATTTGATATAGCAAAATACCCAGGAATAAACCTAACCAAGGAGGTAAAAGCCCTGTATGCAAAAAACTACACAACACTGGAGAAAGAAATCAGGGAAGACACAAACAAATGGAAACAAATACCATGTTCATGGATTGGAAGAATTAACATCATCAAAATGTCCATACTACCCAAAGCAATATACAGATTCAATGCAATACCTATTAAAGTACCAATGGCATATTTCACAGACATAGAACAAACACTTCGAAAATTTATATGGAACCATAAATGAGCCCGAATAGCAGCTGCTCTTTTGAGAAAGAAGAACAAAGTAGGGGGGATCACAATACCTGATACCAAGCTGTATTCCAAGTCCACTGTAATCAGAAAAGCCTGGTACTCACATAAAAACAGGCACATAGACCAATGGGACAGAACAGAGAGCCCAGAAATAAACCCAAATCTCTATGGTCAATTAATATTCAACAAAGGGGCAGCAACATAAAATGGAGTAATAATAGCCTCTTCAACAAATAGTGTTGGGAGAACTAGACGGCTACGTGCAAAAAAATGAAACTCAAGCACCAACTTACACCATACACCAAAATAAATTCAAGGTGGATAAAAGACTTAAATATAAGCCTTGGAGCCATTAAAGTCCTAGAGGAGAACACTGGCAGAATAATCTCAGATATTTTACTCAGCAACTTTTTTACTGATATGTCCCCTAGAGCAAGAGACACAAAGGAAAGAATAAACAAATGGGTTCTCATCAAAATAAAAAGCTCTGCATGGCTAATGAAAACAGTATTAAATTAAAAAGACAACCAACTGTATGGGAAAACGTATTTGCCAATGATACCTCAGACAAAGGTTTAATCTCCAAAATATACAAAGAACTCACATGACTTCACTCTAAGAAGACAACCAACCCAATTAAAAAATGGGAAAAGAACTTGAATAGGCATTTCTTCAAGGAGCACATAGAGAAGAACCAGAGACACCTGAAAAGGTGCTCAATATCGCTAGCTATCAGAGAGATGCAAATTAAAACCACAATGAGATACCATTTTACACTGGTCAGAATGGCTATCATAAACAAAGCAACAAACAAGTGTTGGAGAGGTTGTGGGGAAAAGGGGACCCTCATTCACTGTTGGTGGGATTGCAGACTGGTACAACCACTGTGGAAAACAGTATGGAATTTTCTAAGAAAACTAAAAATGGACCTGCTTTTTGACCCAGCAATTCCACTGCTGGGATTATATCCTAAGAATCCTAAAACATCAATTTCAAAGAACCTATTTTCCACAATGTTCATAGCAGCACAATTTACAATAACCAAGAGCTGGAAGCAACGTAGGTGCCCACCAGTAAATGAATGGATAAAAGAATTATGGTACATATACACAATGGAATTCTATGCAGCAGAAAGAAAGGAGGTACTACCCTTTGCAACAACATAGATGGAACTGGAAAGCATTATGCTGAGTGAAATAAGCCATGTGTTGAAAGACAAATACCATATGATCTCACATTTAACAGGAAGCTAGCAGCAAAACAAACAAGCAAGCAAAATAAAAACAACGACACTGAAATAGAGAACAGGGGGACAGTGACCAGAGGGGCAAGTGGAGAAAATTTCAGGGGAAAAAGTGGAGGGATTTACAAGAACTAGTATAAAGGACACATGGACAAAAACCAAGGGGAGTGGAAATGGGAGGGAGGTGGGGGGCAGTGGGCCATAGGCTGGTATGAAAATAAAAGACAGAAAACTGAATTTGAACAATAATTAAATTTTTAAAAGATTAAAAAAAGAAAGAAAGGATATAGAGTGTGATTTAGTTAGTAAATATATCTTTCCTCACTTCTTAAGTCTCAAGCTCTACTTTAACTTTAATTTTAGACATTTCCAACACTTGATCATGAAATTTCAATGGTTTGAAATTACCCCTGAAAATCTTCACAATTAAATTTTTCTGATAACTCTCATTCTTCAAATTATAAATAAGATATATACAAAGATATCTCACATAAAATTAATTTTTCTCATGAAAAAAGGTATATTGTTGTAATAAGATATATTACAACATGAAATATCTTATTGTGTAATAAGATATATTACCCATGAAATAAAAAAGTAATCACATTAATAAAAAATAATATTAGTGGCATGACTATAATAATTTAAACTTAATTTTATACCTGTTAGTGCCCCTTATAAAAATCACTTATTTACCATATTTACACTTATTGAATTTTAATTGTTTTTCAAATATAAAAATTTTTTAAAGATTTTTCATAATAGATAATAATCCCTGTAATGTGTCAATATCTGGGAAGACATTACAAAAATATGGTCCTACAATATTTTACTTGAGGGCCCTGTAAAAGGACAATCATTAATGATGAATATTTAAATTCTGTTATTTATTTAAAAATCTTTTATGTTCATTTACTTGGCACAAAAGATAATATTACTCACTTTTGCTAATTGAGACAGATATTGATTGGGTTTGAAAATATTTTGTATACCTGTTTTATTTATATTTTTCATAAATATGACCTTATTTTATAGTCCTTGGTCAGTTGTTTATAATAATTGTACTATATTTACTTCAAATCAGCCAACATGTATGCCAATAAATCTGAAACATGTATTGTCAGAATTCAGCATTTCCTTTCCTGATTGATGATAGTAACCACTATTATTTTTATCCATGTTAGATCCTCTGAATAAACCTATTAAAGTTTTAATACCTATATTTTTCCTTTTTCACATCGACAATATAACAATTCATGAAAAATAAATTAGTTTAAACAAAGTGCAGTGAAAATGAATAGGACATTATTCTCTGAAGAACTGTCAGGCTCATTAATTTGGCCAAAGACTAATCCTAAACCAGTAGCATATTTGATTCAAAGTAATCTTGCCTTATTAACTCTGTTTGGGGAACATGACATTATAATTTCACTGAATTTCCAGGCAGTTTTCAAGTGGGACTCAGCTGGGTTGTGAAAGCTGCCAAATGTCTTTAAAAGATTGAAGGAATTATGGCAGGCTTCACTGTATGATGAGTTTTGTTTGCCCTATTACTGACATCTTCCCTTTGATGGGCTAACGGGTTTGCTAGAGGAAGCAATAGATAGTAATGTTAGAAATGTAAGATTCATGTAGCTGAATGTCTAACACAGATGTGTATAAGGACAGGTGATTTGTCTCACAAGGTTTTTTTGTTTTCTAATTCGCATTAAAACTGAGTGGATTAATTTTAAGATAATACTTATGGATGGCAATTTTCAAGCCATTTTTTAGTATATTTTATAGATTATGTTGTTATAGTTGTCCCAATTATTTATTTTCCCTTTGTCCCCCTTCTCCAGGTACCCCCCTTCCCTCCAGTTATACCCCCCACTTTAGTTTCTGTCCATGGTATGTGCATGTAAAGTTCTTTGAAGGTATTTCTAAAACATCTCATTGATTCTGAAACTGGGCAAATTTGTTGGAAAATTGTGATTTTTTTGTTATTAATTGATTGAATCAATGTCGATGACTGCATTTTGTTTTGTTTGGGTTGAGGTTTTTGTGCTATGTTATGTAAATTCCCAAATATAAGAATATACAATGAAGGACTTATAAACTATAAAGGAAAAAATATAAACTCCCAATTTACAACCAGCCTGAAGATATGATAGGCCACATAAATTACTAAACCCTCTTTTCTGAATATTCAATAACCTCCTCATCTCCTTCAGTTTGACTTCTTTGTTTTAAACAGTTTTAAATAAATAAGAGTTTAAAAAAATACTGTAATGTATACAATGAATAAGACTGGAACTGGCCCTTTGGTCACAACTGACAAACACCAAACTAAACCTTTTGTAGGTTTATAGCCAAAGTTCCCATGCACAAAGTGAAATAACACTGAGGCCATGCATAAGAAAACAATTAAGTCTATAATAGGTTTTGACTTTTAATTGATTATTGATTGTATTTTAAAGAAATGAAGTAGAATATAAAAAGCTTAGAAATATTATACTTACTTTGCATGTGTTATTACTAAGAAATAAAGGATAACAAATTATTCATAAATATTTAGCATCTTGATTATTTTTACCTTTCCAAGGATTTTCTCCTGGAAAATTATTCACTTTCAATTTTTTTCTGAAGTTTTCTGTATATTTATGGATGCATTTATATGCACATGCTTGTGTTTACATACATATACATTTACATACATACATACATAAAAATATATTTGCATTTATATAGTGACCATTTGAAAACGTGATGTGTATATATTCATAAACAGAAATTCTTTTGATGTGACATTCTTATATCTTAATAATATTTCATTTATTCTTGCATATAACAGTCTACATTACTGGTACTTTACAAGTCTTCTGGCCCTAAATATAAATTTTAATTTTTTTCCAACTAGAGAATACTATATCACAATGGTCAAATGGGTAAGCAATACCAAGACTGTGGTCAGATGGTTAAACCGACCCCAGAACATCTCCATTCTCACAGTCTGTGAGACCACGACTGGCGCTTGCAGTAGAGTGAGTATAATTTACTTTTCTTATAGGCTTAGAAGAATTTTATTATATGAAATGTTAAAGGGACTTACCTAAGAAAAAGAAGATAAAAAAGATGAACTGTGAAAGTACAGCTAACTCACAGTTACTAAGAACCACACCTAAAACAAAAGCAAACTGAGGACAGCTAGATCAGGAGCAGAACCATAGAAATGAAGATCACATGGAGGGTTAGCAACAGGGGAGTGGGAGGAGGAGAAGGGGGGAGAAGGTACAGAAAATAAGTAGCACAGATGGTAGGTAGAAAATAGGGGGGGAGGACAAGAATAGTATGGGAAATATAGAATCTAAAGAACTTGAGACACATGGTCATAAACTAAAGGGAGGGGAATGGTGGGGGAGGGGGTGTGCAGGGTGGAGGGGAATGGAGGGGGGAATAGAAAAACTGTAATGGCATAATTAATAAAATATATTTTTAAAAAATGAAGAATTTTAGAGAGATAACAGAAAATCCTTTGTGCAAAGACTTATCTTTGAATGGTAGTAGGAAAAGTCATTCTATTAGTATATACTTTAATCCCTAAAGCTTCAAAAATATGGATCAAGAAATACAGATGATTAGTAGAAGAGAAAACACTGACTTTAAAAAAATAAATTTTTATATAGTTTATTAGGTTTTCTACCCATGTTAGTGTCATTCTCAAGAATGGAATGTCCCTTTTTATTTTGATTTTGATTAAGTTGAGAATATAGACTGTTCCTTTACTGTTTTTCTTAAACACATTCCAGAAATTCAAGTTTTTATAGTTCAGATTAGTCCTTTTAAAGAACACAGAGTGTCACTCTCCTTAAGTTTAAAAAGTAAAAAAAAAAAATGGCTTTGGAACCACTGCATTTTGAATCAGGTTGTAATTATATTTCTGTAATCAGTTTTCATAAACTCTGCAATAAATTCTATATGTGTCATTTTAAGGTTCTTAGTAGAAGAAAAACTGCAATCACTTCAAATTATTATGGTATATTCTTGGTACTAGGTAAAGGATTCTCAGTTATTTAACCACAAACATTTCAAATTTGTTTTTGGAGAAGAGGAGTAAATATTATCAGACTAACATCTCTGCTGTGATAAATTCTAAAATTACAAAACATATTGAAAACTTATTTTCAGAACAATTAGGGACATCAGAACAATTAGGAAATTAATTGTGAAATAGTGTAAATACACAAGATGGGCCTCTATAATGACTTCCTATTAGTGACATTTTTGAGATCACAGTGCAAGAAGATGTTACCTAAGGAAGACACAGTGGTATCACTGCTTCAAATAGGCAGGAAGAATTTTAGGCTTTTGGTGGCTGAAATTTGCAAGACAAGTAATGTAGAATTTAGAGTTTTAAAAAGAAGAAATCCAGTTATCCAGTTATCTGTGAAGGATCACTGAGATCTTTAGCTGATTACTTACCCGTGTAAGTACAAGACGTTCCTTAGACAGAAAGAATCAGAGAGAAACTGCAGGTTGCACAATGCTTGGAAACTTCAGGGTTCTGAAGAGCAAAAATAGAAAGCTCTCGCTGAAAACCCAATGCATTCAACCCGGGGCTCACAAAGAAAATGCATTAGGAATAGGGCTATTTTAGATGACTTTTCATAACCTTTTAAGTCAAACCTTGAGGGAATCGAACTCATCTGCCCATAAATTAGCTCTCTGGCAGAAAAATGTTTACCCTTTAAAAGGAACATTAAAATATTTGCAAAATATGTAACTGATAAGGTGTCAGTATCTAAAATATATAAAAACCTCCTATAACTCGATAGAAAAAGAAATATAAATAATCACATTTAAAAGTGAGCAAATAATCTGAATAGACAGTTTTCCAAGAAATGATATTCAAATAGCCAATAAGTATATGAAAAGGTACTCAACATTATTAATAATTAAACAAATGCAAATCAAAACCACAATAACATATCACCTTACATGTCTTAAAATGGCTATTATAAAAAAGACAAGAAGTAACAAATGCTGGCAAGGAAGTAGATAACTGGAATCTCTGTAAACTGTGGTGTATGCTACTACAGACATTGGGGGAAACAGTATGGCACATACTTAAAAAATAAAGAAAAATAGAACATCCATGAAATTCAACAATTTGACCTGTAGTGGTTCAAAGGAAACAAAATCACTATCATGAAGAGATATTTATAGCCTCACATTTATTGCAATGTTATTTACAATAGCCAAGACATAGAAAAATAACTAAATTTACAATAATGGATGGATGAATCGATTTTTTAAATCACACATACACACAATGTAACACTATTGAGCCATAAAAAAAGGAAATCCTAATATTTGTGACAGTATGGGTAGACCTTCAGGACATTTATGCTAAGAGAGATAAGTCAGATATGGAAAGACAGATACTATATAATCTCACTTATTTTTGGAAGCTAAAAAAAAACCCACCATATTTATAGAAACAGATTAGATTTCTGTTTCCTGGAACTGGGTGTGTGGGTGGGTGGGGCTGGGGAGACGTGGGGTAATTGGATAACGCTGATTAAAAGGTATAAACTTCCAGTTACAAGATAAATAATTTCTAGGCATGTCATATCAATATGATAACTATAGTTATCAATACTGTATTGTAAATTTGAAAGTTTCTATGAGAATAAATCTTTAGCCCTCATCACAAGGAAAAATATTCCTAAGTATGTGAGGTGATGGATGTTAACTAAACTTCTGGTAGTAATCATTTTATAGTATATACATATATCGAATCATTATGTTGTATACCCTAAATTGTACAATATTATATGTCATATATACCTAAATAAAACTGGGGAGAAAAGAATAATTTGAGTTCTACATTCTCTAGATCAGGGGTTATCAAACTCATTTTCACCTGGGGGCCACATCAGCCTCTCCGTTGCCTTCAAAGGGCCGAATGTAATTTTAGGACTGTATACATGTAACTATTCCTTAACAGTCAAGTGAGAGCTCAGCATTGCCAGTGGGTAGAAACAAGGTGTCAGGAGGGATAAAACAAGGCGGAGGGCCGGATTCAGGCCACGAGCCTTGTGTTTGCCACCTATGCTCTAAAGGGTAGAGATAAAAGCTAACTTTTCAGTTAACTTTTTGCGGGTGGTAGCATGATCCTGTTACCAAAAACAGGATTATACAACTCTAATAAATAAGGACATTACAAGAGAGAATATTTTTGACTGATACCTCTCATGAACACGCGTACATTTAAAAATCCTTAAACATATTAATATGTCATTCCTGGCAATATAGAAAATAGTAATCATGACTAAATGGGGTTTATCCTGTGAGTTATAAAATGAGAGTAAAAACCAATCCATATCTCATATTTTAACATAAAAAGAAAATATTTCATAAGATTAAAAAATTGATGAAATACAATGCTTATTCATAGTTCGCAACATAAGTGAATATAAATTAGTATCCCCAGTCTGATCAAAAATACCCTAAATACCCAAATAAATACTATATTCTATGTTGAAACACTTTTCTTATTCACCTTAAGATTCTCAATAAGGTAAGAACATAAATTCTATTATACAAACTTATTATAGGTTCTAATCAGAGCAACGTGGCAAGGAATAAATATAATTATTGTTAAGGAAGAGGTGGAAATGTCTGATTGTTCAGTGAAAGTGTCTTTATTTGTACATGGTATTATCATATAAATAAAGTGTAAGAAATCTACAAAAACAGGCCACAATCCTGCATCAAGGAACTAACTTCATTTGTTTGTTCCATTTGCTAATTTTGATTATTTTACTGTTAAGAATTTGTAAATATGTAGAATACTATAATTTCCTTTAAAAAGTATTACAGAGTTATGGGTAAATAGATCTAGTGTCTCAAAATTTCTGTAGAAAATTTTTAGGATAAAAATATTTCTTCTGTAATTACTTTTAAAGAATTATACTTCCATCTTCTTCTTAAATGGTTAGAAACTGTATATAGAGATAATAATAAAGCAAAATATAAATGAGAACTATATATAAAGGATATGTAGATATTTTTGTAATGGTCTTTAACTTCTCTGTAACTTTGTACTTATTTCCAACTAAATAATTAAGAAATGAAAATATATTTTATATACTTGTAATGTTATGATGGAAAATAAGCAAAAATACCATTAAAACAAATAGAAACTTAATGCCCATTCTTGAATTGAAAGTCTTAGCATTGCAGGTGTCAATTCTACTCAAATTGAACTGTACTTTTAATATAGTACTGATTAAAATCTCAGCAAAATTTATTGTTTAAAGAAAAGAAAGGGGGATACTAGAATGTATATGGACAAGGTCAGGTACCTTCAGTGTGGTATGACTTTGTGTGGTAAACACACAATGCAATATTTAGTTGATGTTTTTTAGAATTGTACACTACAAGCCTATAATATTGTATTATTACCCAATGTCACCCAATATATTTAGTGAAAAATTTAAAAAGAATACATGGAAATGCAAAAAACCTGGTGAGCCCAAATAATCCTGTGGAAAAGAAAATGTTGGAGGAATTGCACTACCTGATTTCAAGAATAATTAGAAAGCCACAAAAACTGAAAGAATGTAGCAGATACATAAGGACACACAAATATATTAAATGAACAGAACATAATTTCCAGAAAGAAATTTATATTTGTATGATCAATTGATTTTCAACACTGGTGCCAAAATAATTCAGTATGGAAAAATGATGCTGGAAAAATCAGTAACCAAATGGAAAAAAAACCTGTTTGACATTTATCTCATACCATATTTTAAAATTAATTTAAGAGAAATTCCAGCCTTATCTAAAACTTATACTGCCAATCTTCTAGATGAAAATATGGAATATTTTTACTATGTTAAATAGGCAAAAATAATTAAGAAAGAAAAAATACATTAGACCATCAAAATTAGAAACTTTTCATTAAAGGTACTATTAAGAAATTGTACAACTAATCACAGACTGAGAGAAAATATTTTGCAAGATGTGTATCTGA